AAATATTGCTCCACTGTTCATTAGTTACTGAGCCTGTTACCTGTTGTTGTTTCTAGATTTTCCTCATGCATTTCTCCCGAGGTTTGTCACCTGTGTACCTTCTTTTGGACTTTGTAAGTTAATAGATGTCACTGACAGGATTGGTGTTCGGGTACCTGCTGGTTGTCCTGGTTGTGTGCCTCCCTGTGAAGTCTTTTGTCCCCAGTTGCCTGTTTCCCAGTATGTCTGTCTGGTTTCTCTCCCTCGTTCTGTGATGGAGAGTTGGTCAGAGTTGTAATTTAGTTCTAGTTGTAGAGTTTGATTTGTTTCCTCGATGTCTTGTCTCATGACCAGGGCGGGGGGTGGGTGCAGAAAACTAGGGAACAAAACATTTGCAAACATCAGGGACAGCTCCGGGGTTCTGCCCAGGAACCTGCAGAAAGGCAACAGTTCAGGGGGGTCGGGTGGCTGTGTGGGCTCAGCAGAGATGGAGAATCTGAGGGGCCATGAAGGTGTCCTGGTCCCACGTTTGGATCCTGCTAAGAGCAGCAGATGGAGGATGCAGAACTCTGAAGGCTCAGCAGGTGAGCAGCTGTGAAGATGGAGAGCAGACCCTCTGACTGTCGCTCATGTGCCAGCAGTGAGAAATGACTCAGGTTCAGGCGACAAGGCAGGTTTGGACCCTCTGACTGCCTTTCTACCAACCAGAGCTGCACTCACCCTGCTCGAGCTGCTGCTGCTGTAGTGAGGCCTGACAGCTGGGCAGCTGCTGTGGTGGAGAAGTGTTTGCTCTGCTGACCTGACTGACCTGAAAAACATATCAAACCAAATAACTGAAAGGAAACAGATTCCAAAACGGGATATATGTGGAAAATACTCAGTATGAGATGACAGAGAAGTGTGGGGAGGCCAAGACTATGAACAAGATGACGGGGAACATGGGAAACACCAGGGGAGCACGTTTGAAAGCAGTCACAGAAGACGAGGTTTTGGGCGAATGTTTGGAAGGATAAAAAATGTAAAATAACAAATTGTACGGAATCGAATGTTTACAACTACAGAAGGTGTTGAGACAAATGATCCCCAACAGATCCAAAATGGATCAAATCTAAAAACAGTTTGCCAGCTGATAGAATAAAATCTATAAAACTCGATTGCTCTGTGGATATTAATGCACCTGTCAGACCAGTCAGGTCCTCTGAAACATTCTTCTATGTTATCTTAACAATCACTATTGAAATAACTCAAATGTGTAAAGAAAAAAAAGATGTCAGACCCACAGCGAGCATGTGGACAAGTGGGTGAAAAAATGTGCCTCACAGACAACCCAGCATCAGCTTAGTGAAAGAGCAAAGGTAGGCAGATTATCATGAGAAAGTGCTGTCACTGCTTAGTGACATTAAAGCCCCTGATGTGCTCAGGTAGACCAGAACAGTGCTATATAAGAACCAGTCTCATACCACAGGATATACCCAAGAGAAGCTACAGCAAGTAAGCCTGCATGGGTTACTGAGGATACATGAGCAGGGCGTACCTTGTACGTTGGCTTCATGATAAACTTGGTTACACCAACATGTCAACGGTTCAGGTTTGGTTCTTAACTGTCGGTAAGCAGCTCACGTTCAAGACACTTTTGATTTCGTGCAGACAGTGAGAGATGTCATCATGGAGGCAGATGAAACCGTGGTCTCCTACGACATTACATCTCTCTTCACTTGCATCCCAGTCACAGAAGCGTTGGAGGTAGTTGGTAAGAGATTACAGGATGACCCCAACCTCAGCAACAGGACCGCTCTCAGCACTGACCAAGTGTGTTTGAACTGTGTCGTCACATACAGGGTCAGTCCTACAGGCAGAACGTGGGTTCCCAGTTTCATCAGCTGTGGCCAGTTTTTACATGGAGTAAAGACGGATCTGTTGTCCAATCGTGGAACAGCAGAAAGCCGACGTAGAGAACACCTGGGTGAAAATCAGATGTCAGCCTGTTTATGGCTGTGTAGGTTCAGGGTGCACTACTATTCACTGATCACATTAACAAACACGTGAAGTTCACGAGGGAGGATATCAAAATAACTGCTTTCTTAGACTAAAAGTTTCATCAGGGATGGGCGACATTTGAAAGTCAATATTTATCAAGAGCCAACAAATTTGGATCAGTATCTAAGGTTTGACTCCCATCATCCACTGGAGCACAAACTGGGTGTGTGAGCGAACACCATCCCCACTGACACAGCAGCCAGGGAGGCAGAAGAACATCTAGAAGGCCCTGAGTAAATGTGGTTATCACAGCTGGACTTTTGTCACAGCTGGACTTTTGTCACAGCTGGGGTGGCTCCTAAAGAAAGCTGCAGCCAATCCAGGAGAGAAGAACAACCTCTGCCTAAGCAAAGGTCTTTGTCTTAGTCACTCACTGTGATTCTGGTAAGAACTGAACCAGCTTTGTCCCCCTGAGTTAACCCTGCAGTTGCCTGGATCAGCCTGGACCCTGATCTGTGGGCTGAGCCTGTGTTTAAATACAGTGAATGTGTTTCTGACCAACAGGTGTTGCAGCCTTAGACTCCGAGGTGTCAGGAAAGATCGGTCTGCGAGCCGTCGTTTATTACTTCTCAACAACTATCATTGCAGTTGTTCTCGGTGAGTCACATTTTAATTGATAATTCATTTTATATGCAGCGTATAAAACGAATGGTTGATGTTTATATATATAAATATCTTTCTTGACAGGAATTATTCTAGTGATGACTATCAAACCGGGCGTGTCTCAGACAGCGGAGCACATCGACAGAGCTGGGACTCCTCCTGATGTCACTACAGTCGACACACTGTTGGACCTGCTCAGGTGAGTTTCTCATGGGAATGTCTCGGGAATATTAGGATGGAATAAAAGAGTTGCATCTTTCTTTGATGGCCTAAAACGGAAACTTTCATCATACAATATCCCAACAAACACTGTTTAGTTGGTTCGGGTAGCGTCGTACTAGCATCCTTTATTGGTGTCAGGTTACATCTCATGTAGACATGTAGGACGTGTCACTGCAGCGTCACGCTGCCCTGTCTGTGACGTGCTTGGTAAATTATGACTAATTCTGACATTACTGTTACTGATGTGTTTGTAGGCTCAACTATGACAGAGTCGTGCAAGAAGAAAAGCATGGACTTAAAAAAAGAGCTTTAATACACAATATAAGAGTTTATAATTGAGGCATGGTCTTTGTTTGATAGCTGCATTCATGAAAAGTATGTTTTTGCTAGATATGTAATTTCAGAGTTGAGATGCATCCATTCTGCTGCTCACCTGCAGCTTTTTGCTTTCCCACTGACAGAAACATGTTTCCTGAAAATCTGGTGCAGGCTTGTTTTCAGCAGGTAAGACGACCACACATCCTGTTATTCTAGCCTACTTTCTGGTGCTTCTCATCGTGTGATTCTGACACTGTGTCCAATTCCACTCTAGTACAAAACAAAACGCAAAGAAGTGGAGCCTGAGAAGCTTTCAGTGAACAGCAGCACAGTGCCCCCTCTCACGACCACCATCATGGCTGTGATGGAGGTAGGTGTACTCGTTCCACTGTGCTGACATTAGGCTCGTGTGTCGGCACCTGGCAGCCAGAGTGTCGTTTAATGGATTGGCTCAATAATGAGTTGAAGCAGGCTGAGCTCAGTCAGCTGTAGTGCTGCATGACATTTGCAGAGCTCATGAGTGGATCTAGTGTCTGTGGAAGCAGCTTTCTGCCCCCTCACTGATTCATGAATGGTCTTTCCCTTCTCTCGGCAGAACATCACAAAGGACTACACAATCGTCGGCACGTATTCCGATGGAGTCAATGTGTTGGGCCTTATCGTGTTCTGCGTTGCGTTCGGCCTCGTCATTGGGAAGATGGGAGAAAAGGGTCGAATCCTGCTGGACTTTTTTGATGCCTTAAATGAAGCAACAATGAAACTGGTCCAGATAATTATGTGGTATGTAAACTACACCCTAAAACTACACGGTGAAACGGTGAAACCAACGTTCCTGATCACTTTTCCGGTTCAGGTTCACAGAGGAGCCTTTCTTTGGATAAGCAGTTAGGAAAACTGATGATCGGGGTGTGTAAATGTTCCTGTATAATTTTATTACTTCATCCGACCCACTTAGTTGAGGCTGTCCAAGGATTTCATTCCCGTACCTGATGGCAGTCGGGGGGCTGTCGCTCAGCCATCATTAACCCACCAAACCAGCCATGCTGAACGATTACAGGCAGCATGCCAATCTCCACAGCCACACACATCTGTCACATCTGTCACATCTGTCACATCTGTCACATCTGTCACATCTGTCACATCTGTCCCACGTGCTCGAGGGAAACTTGCTCTCATCTGTGGAAGCCAAAACTTGATGGACCTGCCAGTTCTGGTGCTCTATGGCAAATTACAGTCACAGGGCCCACTATAGGACACTCTCAGGCCAAGTCTGTTGCCGACTAGAGTTCATTCTTTAGGGCTCCGTCAGTGCTCCTCCTGGTCCTTCTTGCACAAAGGAGCACTGACAGTCCTGCTGATGTCTGAAGGACCTTCTGCAGCACTTTCCAGCTCTGGTAGAGCGACTGTGTCCTGAATCTCCTGCATGCTCACTGTGCTGGGAGACAGTAAACCTGCTGGTAATGGCAGTGACAGTTGGAGCAGGTATCACCTCATCCTCATAGTGACACCAAACCAGTGAAAAGGTGCAAAAACAGAGGAACAATGTTAGGTGGCTCTACCTACAAACACCTCTGTAGTGTTGGGTTGTTCGGGCCCCTCCTGTGTTGTTAATTTCATCAGGTTCGAGGCTGATCCACGGCCTGCTGTCCCTCCCCCCTCCCTCTCTCCCTCTCTCCCTCTCTCTGCTGTCGTTTCTTCTCTGTATCTGTCAATAAAGCTGAAAAGGGCTGAACGTTATGAAGCCGACCCCCTCTGCTGCTAACTGACCAGCTCAGTACTGCAGGGCTTTGACGTGATGCAATGCTACACTTTTTGACTGAAAAGTGTAGCATTCGTTTATTGTGTAAACCTGCTAGATTAACTACATTTCTGTAGTAACTCCATCAGGTCATTGTTATTGTCGAGTGTCTGAGGAGGATGTGTTCATCGTGGAACTGAAGCAGCTTTGTCTTTTCAGCTACATGCCTGTAGGGATCCTGTTCCTTATTGCTGCAAAGATCATCGAGGTAGAAGACTGGGAGATCTTCAGGAAGATGGGTCTTTATATGGTGACGGTGCTGAGCGGGTAAGCGTTCCCATTACTCTCCATCCGGCCGTTCCACACTCCGGGCTTTATGGCTGACATTTGGACCGATTCTCCCTCCTGCGTACGATAAAAGCTCTGTGTGAGCACTGATAAGGGCGAAGGACATTTAAAACTGCTCAACCTGCAAGAATGCAGTAATGAAAGCTTCACTCACGCCTCTAAATGTACGAGGCACAATTAACAACTGTACCATAAAAAATCTCCTCAGTTAACCCACAAGGTGAGTCCAAGGTTCTGAAATCATCCTGTGGCTCCAAACGCAGCCGAAGAAAACTCGTCACCGTGTGGGACAGTGAGGCTGGGACAGGGAGGCTGGGACAGTCCTCTACCCGCCTTTTTATTTGTGTCAAAATGAACATTTGAACTGTATTCCTTCATTCAGAGCCTTCATCAGCTGTGAGTGCATCAGCCACAGCATGATATCGAGTGTGAGAGGTGCACATTGGGCAAAAATGAAATAAAAAGGAGTAGCACTCGAGGCTTGTAGCTGATAGAAGCATGTCTGCAGAGAATAAATACGTGTTTGAATAGATCACATTACGTCAGTTATGGTTGAAGCTAAACCTGTCGGAGCAGTTTAGCACAGTTTTATGTAAAGACAG